CCCAAAGTTAGTCATAAAAAACAAAATATACCACATCCCCAAGGTGGGTCATAGAAACTAGAAATATCACCCTAACCTCACCTCCTTTTCTGTATAAGAGCTGGCCATAAAGAGCTTCTCTGACCTGCCTTGTCTGACAGAAGGTCATTAAGATCCTCATTGCAGGAAAGCTCCTGTCCCATATCTCAGAAGCCAAGATGGGTTTCCCTTCTCAGTCTATTACCATGAGGTCATATCTTTTTTTTTCCAACCACATTTTTTTACGTGACTGTCCATTCTTCATTGAATCTAAGTATAAAAATAGTTTCCCCTGAATCTTTGAGTCTTTATTTCTGAATGTTCCCTTGTCATGTAAGCCCCCCCAAATCCCTTTTTGATCCTGTTCTGTCCTGACACTATCACTGTCAGGCACTATAACTGTCCTGCCCAAGCTCTGAGCTGGGAACTGCCGGGCTCTCAGCCTAGCCCTTCCTTGTGTGTCACCCCACCTGGCCCTTCGAGCGAGGCCTCTTAGCCCAACCCTATCCCATCTCCCATCAGGCCCAGCCAGGGCCCTGCCTGAACTCTCAGTCTGTCCTGAGCCTGGCTCTCAGCCTGCCCTTGTTCAAGTGCTGAGCCAGCTTTGCCCCAGCCCTGCCCCCGCGCTCAGCTGGGCTCTGCCTCTGTTTCTCAGCATGAGTAAGGACAGGAGCTGTCATCTAAATCTTTCATTAAAATAATATGTTATGCTTTTCTCTTATTAATGTCTCCTTTGTTATAGGGGTATCTGATATGACCCTTAGAATGTATGAGAAAAAGCTTCACATCTTTCTGCCTCTACAGATGGTGGAACTAAATCTTAATGTACAGTATATTAAATGTAAAAATGTCAATATTGCCAATTGGCTTTTTTTTTTAAAGGAAGGAATTTTTTTTAACACCTTTATTCTATTTATTCATTTGTATGTGGTTCTGAGGATCGAACCCAGAGCCTCACATGTGCTAGGTAAGCACTCTACCGCTGAGCTATCGCCCTAGCCGCTCCCAATTGGTTTTTTAAAAATTTCAAGCAGGGTGCTGTGGCTCACACCTGTAATCCCAGCAACTGAGGAGACTGAGCAGGCCGTTCATAAATTCAAGCCCAACCTTGGAAATTTAGCGAGACATTGCCTCAAAATAAAAAATAAAAAGGGATGAGACTGAGCATCAAAGCACTTTCCTACCATGCACAAAGCTTTGAATTTAATTCCCAGTGGGGAATAAAATTACACAATAAATTAGCTAGAAGAAGAGACATACTTAAAAATACAAAAAGACAGAATAAAAATAAAAAGATACACGAGGCAAATATGAACTGGGTTGTGATCTTAACATCTGTCAAAGAATAATTTTAGTCTCAAAAACTAAGAGATAAAAAATTATTACGTATTCATAAAAGAAACAATAGATAACAAAAAAAAAAACTAAAAAGATAACAATAGAAACAAAAGATACAACACATGGATGTACCTAATCATACAGACAGAAAATACATAGAACCCATAGGGAGAAATACAGATGCATAACTGTGGCTGAAGATTTTAATATCCTCCTCTCAGAAACTGATATATCAAGGCTTGAATAGTGTAATTATCATATTCCAACAATTTTGCATCTTATATGAGTAGCTTCCAAAAGGATTAAAGACACAATAAATGTGAAAACTAAAATTATAAAAAAATATTAGGAGACTATTATAGTTTGGGACTGAGGAGAAGGGAAGAATGAAACTTCAAAAACACAAACTACAACACAAATATAGGGCTGGGGATATAGCTCAGGTGGTAGAGTGCCTGCCTAGCATGTGTGAGACACTGGGTTCAATTCTCAGCACCACATATAAATAAATAAATAAACAAACAAACAAATAAATAAATAAATGTCCATCAACAACTAATAAAATATTTTTAAAAAGACACTGGGGGCTGGGGCTGGGGCTCAGTGGTAGGGTGCCCACCGTGCACATGTGAGGCCCTAGGTTCAATCCTCAGCACTACATAAAAATAAATTAAAAAAAGATATTGTGTCCATCTACTAAATAAATAAATAAAATTTTTAAAAAGACACTGGTCAAAGTAGATAAGATAATAGAAGATTATATTTGAAATACCAGGTATACAAAACCATTGAAAATAAGTAAAAGGACAGCAACCCCTAGGTTAAAAAAAATTAAAAACAAGGGTAAAGAAATACAGGGAGAAAAATAAATAAAATTTAAAAGTTACATTGTCACAGACCAAAAATGATAAAATGCCATATGCCCTAAGTTGAACTAACCAATCAACACATGGAGACAAAACTGGCAGAAAATATGTACAATAAATATTGCACAGCTATCTCTGGATTTTAGAATAGTGTGTGTGTGTGTGTGTGTGAGAGAGAGAGAGAGAGAGAGAGAGAGAGAGAGAGAGTGAGTGTGTTTATGGGAATTGAGCCCTGGGCTTTGTGCATGCTCCCCCACTGAGCTACGTCCCCAGCCCTTTTCTGTTTTGAATTTTATTTTGAGACAGGGTCTAAATTAATTTGCCTGGACTGGCTTCAAACTTGAGATCCTCCTGTCTCAGCCTCTCAGATAGCTGGGAGTACAGATGTGCACCATCATGCCTGCCTTGATTTTCTTCCTAATACATATGTCAGCTCCAAATTTTTCACAGCAAAATCAGTTTCTTTTGAATATTAATTAAATAAAATTAGAAAAAAAATTTGAATCACTTGAAGGAATATGATTCAGTGGCAGAACAGTGGTATTTAAAATATAAATCCTAAAAAGAAACAAAAAATTTTTTTCAAAGTCTGTATGCATAATGGGTGAAACTATGTACACATTTTTTTCTTTTTAAATTTACCTTAATTTTTGAAAAAAAAAAGTGTATTTATACAATTGATCAAAATAAAAGACAAGGGCTTAGGTTATAGCTCAGGGGTAGAGCACTTGCCTAGCATGTGTGAGGCACTGGGTTCAATTCTCAGCACCACATATAAATAAAAATAGAATTCTATCAACAACTTAAATAAATAAATAAATAAATAGGGCTGGGGATGTGGCTCAAGCGGTAGCATGCTTGCCTGGCATGCGCGAGGGCACTGGGTTCTATCCTCAGCACCACATACAAATAGAATAAAGATGTTGTGTCCACTGATAACTGAAAAATAAATATTAAAAAATAAATAAATAAATAAATGACAAAAGAAAATTTAGCAAAGGTGGGTGCCGAATCTTCAAAAAATATTCAAAGAATCATTATTTTTTACTCTTCCCTCAAAAATGTGCATGAAAATCATTATCTTTATCTGGTGATACTAAAAATATGTAAAAATTAGTGGAACATATACTCGACTGAGCAGAGCAGATATTTTTAGTAAACAATACTCATCAGACTGGCATCCTTAAAACTTAGATCACCCCAAACACCAGCCCTCTAACCCCAAGACAAAATGTTCCGACTCAGCCCCTGTAGCCTTGCTCTTTTTCATAATGGGAAGACTCTGATGCTATAGAAGTAGGTATAAAATCAAGCTTCATTATCCAGAGAGTATTTCATAGATTTTTAAGGTCTCTAAACTACACAAGGCAGCCTGCAGAAGGGAAGGATGAAGTTCTTGCTGCTCCTCCATGATCTTACCACCCACTGCCTGTCATCTAAGTACCCTACTCTTTGATTCTGAAATTAGGTCCACACTTCTTCTTCACTGGACAGACTCATGCATTATTTGATCTCCCTTCATTCACAAAGTCTTCCCTGAAACCCCCAGGCAGAGTTTTGTTCACTTTTTCCAACTACCATGTTCCAGATTTGTATCTGAAGCCCTGTGTTATGGTTTACTGAACCATATGACAGTCATGTCTGAGCCTGACTCACTGGATAGTGGATGTAATTTTTTTTTAAGGTACACTTTTTTTTTTTAAAGTACACTTAGTCATTTCTTCCATGTAGAAGGCTGCCTACTCTGTATTCAATAGCAGTTAGGTACTCACATATTCAACTGATTGGTGTGGTGGAAGGATAAGCTTTGAAACCAAAAGAACTTGAGTTCAAATACTGGCCCTGCCCCTTACTAACAGAACCAGAACAAGTGACCACTATGAATATTAGATAAGCACACTGTAGGAGCTCCACAACTTCATGAGAAAGTGTAATCTGTAAAGGATGAGAATGCAAGTGATAATGGTGTGTGAACAGGTGGTACAGAAAAGATACAAGACCAACGAACTTGCAAATATGGAAAAAATTATTTAAAAATTAGCGGGGGCTGGGGTTGTAGATCAGTGGTAGAGCACTCGCCTTGCACATGTGAGGCACTGGGTTCAACCCACAGCACCACCAAAAAATAAAATAAAGAAAAAAAAATTAGGACACAAAACAGCAGAGAAGAGAATGGATTGCAAATTCAGAGCTAGCCTCAGCAAAAGCGAAGTGCTTAGCAACTCAGTGAGACCCTGTCTCTAAATAAAATACAAAATAGGGCTGGGGATGTGACTCAGTGGTCGAGTGCTCCTGAATTCAGTCCCCAGTATTATAAATAAATAAATAAACAAACAAACAAATAAAGTAGCTTTCCTTATGTTAAGAGGAAATCTGATTTTGTTTCTAAGTGCTTGATACATTTGCAAGATGAAAACATCAATGGGCACAAGTACAAGCATCAGCGCTACTCAACAAAGACTAAGCAATAGAAATATTTAAATGAAATAAAATCCTTAGGTATACTGGGACAAATTGAAAATGAAGATCAGGTTGACACAGATTAACACCATGATAATGCTAATTTTCATAGCTACAACTTAATTAATTAATTAACTTATTTGTTCTGCAATACTAGAGATCAAACCCAGGGCCTCACACATGCTAGGCCACTGCTCTACCACTGAGCTACATCCTTGCCCTTTTTAAAATTTTATTTAGAGACCTGGTCTCATTAAGTTGCCCAGGCTGACTTCTAACATAGTTACTACTTTTGACTATATATTTATATTCAGGCACTTTACACATATTAGCTCATTTTAATCCCTACAACAACCTCATGAAATAGAAATGATCTCTCCTTTCCACTAATAAGGAAATGATCCCAAGAGGTGATGAGACTTTCTGAAGATCTTGCAGAGCAGAGGAGGTGGGTAAAAATAAAAACCCAAAGTTTCTTCCAACAGTCTCCTTTTTCATTTTTCCTTTTCTTTCCACACATTTTTAAAAATTGGTGCATTAAACATTTCTCCTTCTAAGTACCATCATCTGCTTCAGAGCATCATCATTTTTTCCCCAATTACAGTTCATCCTTTTGGTCAACACGGACTTCTTCATTTTCACCCAGCAAACCTCTTTCTTCATTATCTTCCTGCACCTGCCTGTCGGAATTTCCTGGTTCCTCTTCGGGATCCTCTTCATTTTCCTCTTTTTCAAGTCCCCAGATGTCATCTTCCCGTTCTTCTTCCTCTTCCTTTCTCTTCTTGGCCTCTTCTTCCTGTTTTCTTTTTTCCATTTCTTCATACAGTTCTCTCCATTGCTTTTCTATGTCCTGTTTAAAATGTGAAATTTCAAAGTAATTTACAGAAGGAATAAACAAAGTTAACCCACTTTAGAATATCTGGCATCTTCCCATAGCCTAAAAACTTTTTGGGATGGTATTTATTTGCACACAAAATTTCAAATGTGTGGGATGAAAATGTGTGTGTGTGTGATTTGTAAATAAAAATTGATTCAGAATTACCAAATATTTATTGAATGCCTACTGTTGCTGCTGAACACAGAGCTAAACAATCTACACACATCATTTATATTCCTCACTGCAATGCATGAGGTAAGTGTTACTTGTCCTACTTTCTAAACATAGGATCTGAAGTTTGGACTTCTTTATACATTTCTTATTGCTCTCCCCAAATTGAATGTAAGCCCCATGGAGGCAAAAAATTTTTATTTTATTTCTTGGCTACATACCTAGCTTTGAACAGGCAAATATTTGTCAAGTGAACAAACGGTTCAATAATAATAGTTATTATTAAGCACATATTGTATGCCAGTAACTTATGAGATAGTTGCTATCATTATTTCCAAATAACAAAGAGGTTAAATAACTTGCTCAAGTTTATACAGCCAGTGAAGAATGGAGCCTGAATTTGAATCTAAGCAGTCTAGTTCCAAAACTCATACTCTTTAAAAAAATTTTTTTTAGTTATAGATGAACACAATGCCTTTAATTTTGTTTATTTATTTTTATGTGGTGCTGAGGATCGAACCCAGTGCTTCACACATGCTAGGCAAGCACTCTACCACTGAGCCAGAACCCCAGCCCCAAAACTCATACTCTTTTTTTTTAACTTGCAAAATTGTTACATTTGGTAGATGTCAAGGAAAAATACAAACCCAATTTTTTTCTTTCCAAGGGAAAGCAGTAGTCCAGCCCTAAGTATGATGCATGCCTTGATTCTAACGAAAACTCATACTCTTAACCAATATGTAATAGTGACTCAAATAATATTTGATGATAACCCCCAAATAAACAAGACAAAACCATACTAAAAGGTATAAAAAAGTCTAATAACTTTTCCCCATAATTATTACTTTAAAGCTTTTTTGGAAGTATCAAGTACCTTTTTTTTTTTTTTTGGTGTCTATGCTTTGCAAGAACTTTAAGGATGTTTCCTGTTGGATAGTCAAGCACTGGCTACACCCTGCTTGAATGGGCCTTCCTGCAGAGCCAGGACATCTGGATGCCTGGTGTCACTATCATAAGGCCATTGTCTCAAGTATTACTCCACCCATACAATAGTTCTGGGAGGGCAGAGAAGCTAGTAAACAGCACTTTCTGCAAGCCATCCATCCAAAATGGGCTCAGTGGCTCCCTCCTAGAGCACCACACTGAGTACTCAGCATGATGCACAAAAGGTATATGAGTTCTGGGTTCAAACTTGAACTCATCAAGTTAAAGAATGCATGTGGTCGACCTTGGACAGTTTATACTCTGAATCTAAGTTTCTACATCTGAAAAATGGAAGTAATAATATCTTTTTAGGTCATCTTAAGGGCTGAGGTGAATATTGCAAAGTACTCACAGAGTCATGAGTACAGAGTTGTAGATGTCCAATGAATGTGAGTTCTTTGTCTCACTTCTCAAGGCCATGTGACCAGCTGTGGGTCATGATGTGAGACTGATTTTTTAAAATGCAAATAATAGGGGCTGGAGTTGTAGCTCAGTGGTGGAGCGCTTGCCTTGCCCATGTGAGACACAAAGTTGGATCCTCAGCACCACAAACAAATAAATAAATTAAATTAAGGTATTGTGTCCATCTATAACTAAAAAAAATTAATGCAAATAACAGTGCACAACTGAGGACACAGACATTTGGAATACAGGGTGGGGGAACATCTTACCTTTCTTATTCCCCAGGTCTTATTTCCAACCTCTTCAGCAAACTCTTCATCATTTGTAAGAAGGAAATTGTCAAATATACTGCCTGATTTTACCTGTTAAAATAAAATAATGGGATTATTAAAACTGGGTACTTAAATATTAAAGGGTCTGAAAAAAATCACCTGGAGACAGGCACAGTGGTACATGCCTGTAATCCCAGCAATTTAGGAGGCTGAGGCAGGAGGACCACAAGTTCAAAGCCAGTTTCAGCAACTTAGCAAGATCCTAAGCCAATTTAGCAAGATCCTGTCTCAAAAATAAAATATAAAAAGGACTGGGGATGTAGCTCAGTGGTGAAGCTCCCTTGATTCAATTCCCAGTTCCAAAAAATAAATTAAAAAAAAGAAAAATCACCTGGAGGATAGGGATGTAGTTAAGTGGTAGAGCACATGCTTACCTATTTAGGGCCAGGGATTCATTCTCAGCACACACATACACAAATACAGTTCACTAGGAGGCCCTTGCTAAATGCAGATTCCCAAGCCTTAGGCACAGAAATTTTAATTAAAAATGGAGTTTGGGAGCTGGGCACCATGGCACATGCCTATAATCCCAGCAGCTCAGAAGGCTGAGGCAGGAGTATTTTGAGTTCAAAGCCAGCCTTGGCAACTGAGAGGGGCCCTAGGCAGCTCAGTGAGACCCTGTCTCTATATAATATATATACATATATATATATATATATATATATATATATATATATAAAAGGGGGGGCTGGGGACGTGGCTCAGTTGTTAAGTGTTAAGTGTCTTAAGTGTCCCTGGGTTTAATCCCCAGTATCAAAAATAAAATAATTAAATAATAATAATATTGATGGAGGTTAGGGTGGGAATGCAAAGGTTATTAAAAATTCAAATCATCCAGCATGCTTTACTGCCCCAGATGATCTGCTGTAGAAAGAAGTTAATCTACTGATATCCAAGGCTTGGTGTTCCTTCAAGCCTCTACCCACTATTTAAGAGATCTGTAAAGAAACTTCCATAATTCTGCTAACCTCTAGTTTGTGCCCAGTGGCTCATGCCCCATCTCAGATTGACAACTCCTCCTTCTGATGATGCCTACATATAGATACTATATTTAAGGTCCTCTCCTTAGAATAATCAGAAAAACTAAAAGAACATGGGGGAAAGAAAAGTTTTCATAAGAAATATAAGGAGAATTTAAATTCTCTAAAATTTAGATCCTATACCATATTTCTCTATTTTCTTAAATAACAGTTTCAGTATTCACCATTGAAAGAAAGATTAATTAAATTCATGGCATGTAATATTTTCAGTGTTTGTTTATTTACTTCATAACAAAGGAATAGAATAGAAGGAGCATAAGACCTGGAATCAAACAGACCAGTTCAACCACATAGTAGTTGTATGATCTTGGGCAAGTTACTCAACTCCTCTGATAAGAGAAGTAAGGGAAATAATAACTCCCTGTGATAGTGTCATGAGAATTAGAGCTAATATGTGCAAAGCACAGTGTCCAGCAGATAATAGATGCTCAGTAAATGATAATAGTGATTATACATTTTTGGTATCTGGATATATTTCAAAACAAACAAAAGGAGGGCCAATCAGTGATATTTTACTTTAGCACCATGTTAAATCTTCAAGTCAATTTCATGGGAGAAGTTGTGTGACCAAGAAAAAGCCTCAGGTGAGTTACACTATGTCGCTCCCCAAAGCTTTGAAAACTTCCGCCTTGCCATACACTTTTGTGACCAAAAAGGGTTTTGTTGTTGTTTTTTCGTATTTTGTTTATGTTTTTGTTTTTCATGAGAAAGACTTTTATTTGGCTCATCTCACCCCACCAACCAACAAAATAGATAGAGATTGTTATTTTGCTCTGACTCATTTGAAAAAAATTTGTCTACAAAATTCCTTGTGCAGGGACTGAGGTTGTGGCCCAGAGGTAGAGTGCTCGCCTACCATGCATGAGGCACTGGGTTCGATCCTCAGCACCACATAAAAATAAAATAAAGATATTGCATCCACCTGTAACTAAAAAATAAATATTTTTAAAAATTCCTTGTGCAACTGTAAGATATTTTCTGACTTTGGGGATTTTTTCTTTTCTTTTGAGTTGTCAGCAATCTTGCTTAGAAAACTGCCAGTTTGCCTGGTGTGGAGGGGCAAGCCTGTAATCCCAGTAACTCAGGAGGCAGAGAGAGGAGGATTGCAAGTTCTAGAATAGCCTGGGCAACTTAGGAGACCTTGTTTCAAAATAAAAAAATAGAAAGGGGTTGGATGTAGCTTAGTGGCAGTGTGCCCCTGGCTTCAATTCCAAGCACCAGCAAAAAACAAGGAGAAGGAGAAGGAGGAGAGAGAAAGGAAGGAAGGAAAGAAGGTGATCAATTGTTGGCTTTTCCATTTTTCCTGTTTCCAATATTATTAATCTCCCTTGGTCTCTTCAGTGATCCCTTGCTCTCTTATGTCAAATTCATAGATTATGAGAGTACCAGTCCTGCTTTCAAAAACTTACCAGTGGGATGACCTTGGTCTATTTACCTCCTCTCTATGCTTATGTTTTCATCTGCAAAATGGCAAAAAAATATACCCTCTCTGGTTTCTTCACACAGGAGAAAAGAACACATAAGAAAGAGCTGTTTTTTTTTCTTGGTGGTGCTGGGGATTGAACCCAAGGCCTTGTGCATGTGAGGATGTTGCTCAGAGGCAGAGCACTTGCCTAGCTTCCTAGTCTGGGTCACCAGCAACACACACACACACACACACACACACACAAATTGAAAAAAAAAAAAGAGTGGAGATAGCAAGTCCTACCCTCCTGGCTTCACAGGTCTTTGACACAGACCACCTGACCTAAAGGATATCAATGTGCTTTGCATTATGGCTGGGCTATACTCGTTGAAGTTTACGTTACTGAATAGATCATGAGGAGTCCCAAAGGAAAAGTATTTTCTTTGCTCTGCCACCCCCGCCTAGCCTCTGCCTTGACCAAAGAATGCAATTACTTATATCTAAAAGGAAAAAAAGTAAAGGGATTATGTTTGAAGGCCTCAGAACAGGGAACAGGAGGGGTCAGGGCAAGGCAGAAAAGTCAACCGACTTACTAAATGGGGATGAAGAAAGGACAGAGAGGGCAACTGAACCAGCAGAATATCCAAAGGCTGGAAAGGGGGTTAGGATGGTTGGGGAGGGGCAGGTAAAGGAATATCCATCATTTTCATGTGTAGAGTCCCTTGGCTTTTCCAATAAGATGCAGAGACTGTGATAAACTGTATGCTCCAGGTTAGCTGAGTGGGGATGGTAGAGTAGACAGCTCGATTCCAGACCTAACTAGATGTTAGAGGGGAAAAAATGCCTTCAAGGGCGATGTTAGCATCATGCAGAATTCTCTCTCTCTTTCTCTCTCTCTCTCTCTCTCTCTCTCTCTCTCTCTCTCTCTCTCTCACACACACACACACACACACACACACACACACACACACCATAAAGAGGTAATGCTGGGGGTTTAGAAATAGAGTCTCACCCCAGTCCCAGCATCTGTATTGTAATAAGGTTCCCCAGTGACTTCTATGCATGCTAAGATTTGAGAAGCATTTCTCTGGCATGGTTTAAATTCTTAAAATAGAAAGGTTTGCCTGCTTAGAGAGGCTGAGAGAACCCAGAGCAATTAGTGTCAAATAATTTTTAATTTTGTAGATGACTAAAGTTTAAAATGTGTACCTTAAGGATTTCATTGGGGGAAAAAAGAGGGGGGCATTTTAAGACAATAATCAGACTAGGCATAGTAATATGATCACATGTGTTTCCAAGATGTAGAAAGTTCCTATAATGTATTAAAAAGGGACAATTAAAAAAAGAAAGATAACAATGCAAATTTGTGTAAATTATATCCACATTTATCAGATAAACCAGGAAGGAAAGCTGTGCTATTTTTCTCCGCCACTGCTCACCTGAATCCCTTCCCTGCACCTGGTAATTTACATATGTGACCTCCTTGCACTTCTATGTTGGTGTCCTTGAACCAGAAAACACAAAAGTGGAAATAAAGTGGGAAGTGAATAAAGAAATTAAGAGACACTTGAAATATGACGTGTCTAATCCAGAGACCTTTGGTGGCTGTGAACTATAGAAATAAAACAGAGATTTCTAGGACCAGGGACCTGCCAAGATACACCCAAGGATAAGTGGCTGTGGTTTCCATAGGTTCTGTTGTATTGTGGGTGTAGTCATTACAGAAAGAACTTTAGAGACTGACAGACATGTATTTGAATTATCCTGTCTCTCCCATGCACGAGCTGTGTGCTCTTGGGTACCTCACTTGACATTTCTGAGCCTCAATTCTCTCCATTGTAAAAGAGGTAATAATAAAATACCTTACAGAGGTGTGGGAATTAAGGGAGAAAATATAGCTAAAGCATTGATGCCAGGCCAATGTTTACAAAACCAAGTTACTTCCTCTCCAGGCGAAATCTTCCAGGACTATGCAGATTGACATTTCTAGAGACTTCCTGGGAGGGATTATGGGCCAACACAAGTCTCAGGGAACAAAAAGATGGAAAGGAAAATGACTCTTCAAAGTCATGAGAATCTGATCCTTACAGATAGGGCCAAGGAGAGATGACTGGCAGAGAGAGAAGCAAGGCAGGGCCTGTCATCAGGGCTGGGACTATCACTTCCAACATCTGTCCAGGGATTTTAATGTTTCAGACTTTTGCCACATCTCTGGTTTCTGTTTATCTATAGAACTACCCTTCAGGAATCATATAGGACCAGCAGAAGTGGTGTAAAGTATCAGAACCCTGCATCTAGCTAGGTGTGGTGGTACACATCTGTAATCCCAGAGACTGGGAAGGCTGAAGCTGGAGGATCACAAGTTCAAGGCCAGCCTCAGCAACTTAGAGAGATCCTGTCTCTAAATAAAGTATAAAAGGGCTTGAGATGTGGTCTAGTGGTTAAGCACCCCTGGGTTCAACCCTAAGTCCAAAAAAACAAAACAAAAAAACCTGGACCTGGTGCCAGAAAGTCCTGCACTCAGGTCCCAGCTTCCTTTTTCTTTTCTTTTCTTTTCTTTCTTTTTTTGGGGGGTATGGGGTGCGGGTACTGGGGATTGAACTCAGGGGTGCTTAATCACTGAGTCACATCCCAAAGCCTTTTTTGTATTTTATTTAGAGATAGGGTCTCACTGAGTTTCTTAGAGCCTCACTAAGTTGCTGAGGCTGGCTTTGAACTTGCAATCTTCCTGCCTCATTCTCCCAAATCGCTGGGATTACAGGCATGCCCCACCATGCCCAGCCCAGATCCTAGTTTTCTGCTCACTTTCCCGGTTGTATATTATCTGGCAATTTAACTTTTCTGAGTCTCCTTTTCACATTTAGAAATAGAAGATGTATAATGAAAATTAAATGGCATATCCCTTAATGCCACGCTTGGTACATGGTAGGAACTCAGTCAATTTTAGCTTTTGTAAGAGCTAAAATTACTAGGATGAATATAATTACCCATTTTAAGGATGAGAAGTTTGAGGTTTGGAAAGATAAAGGCTTATTCAAGTTTGTGATTTCCAACCTGGGGATCTTTCCACAGTGTGAAAACTAGAACTGTTGATCAGAGTCCAGAAAGCTTTACCTGCCAAAGGTCCAGGCCAAGAACACTGATGTTATAATAATGACAAATGGTGGGGTCAGGCTTATATTTAGGGTTGTCTATTTCTGGATGAATCCACTCTCCCTGGTAATTGGGATTGTCAATGATCCGAGGTTTCCACTGTCCCTGAGCAAAGAACCAAAGCAGAACACAGGATTAACATTTTTCCATTCTTCTGATCTCATGTAATCAAAAAGGCCAATCAATTCATTAGAGTTGTTGTGTATTAGACATAAGAATTCAGAACAGGATTCCTCGAGCTTCTTTCCCTTTCTTTGAGTTAATGCACAAGACTCTTTCAAGTTGCCTTTTCTACTCAGAGGGTGCTAAAGGATGGGGCAGAGACTCATTCTGAGCCTGTCCCCTCTCTGCATGAGCTTATTCATGAAGTTAAGAAACTGTGGCTTCTCAGAGAACATCATCTAAGTATCTTGGCACTCGGGCCAATCTCGTCCTGGTGGGTGGCACAGGAAACTGTGGCCAAATAAAATGCTTGCCTCAGTCAGTTTTATTGTTGGTCCACTTGTCAGCTGACTTCTTTAGCTCTTGCTTTTGACAGGAGGTCAGGAATTAACCCTTAAAAAGAAGTTCTCCTGTCCCCTAACAGCTTGAGTTCGTGCATGTTTTACCCTTTCCCCTTCGGGCCCACTTCTGAGACTTCCAGATACTGACCCCAGACCCATTTCCTGTTTGGACCATGTTCTTTTGGCTGCTTTCCACTGCACTGGACAAGCTCCTTGCTCAGGAGCTTGAGCATTGTCTTTACCAGCCTATCCTCTCCCAGTTGGGCACAGCCCTGAGAGAAGGGTTGGCATGAGGACAGCGTTATTTGGGGTAAGGGAGTAGAAGGGAGGGAAAATGACCACAGGATCTCAGAATTTGTTTTGTAAATTAGAATATACATTGCTTCTATCTTATTTCTCATACCCATTGGAAAGACACACCGCCCTCCCTACCTCCACCTCACCTTATATTTGAGGTTTGGTATCAGGGGCCCTTCCCACTCCCCATCCATCGCCTCATTCCAGTCATCTGGCTTTTTGGCCTCTGGGTCTGGGATGTACTCAAAGTCCTCCCAATCCTAAAATGAAATGTTTTTTTCATGCAGATAGATATGTGGTCTGGAATGAAACTGGGGCCCCAAGTTTAGTCAGGAGGAACTGGTTCCCTACCCCAACCATCCTTCTGATCACCTACATAAAGGGCCAGCTCAGGACTTTGTAAATAAACTCCTATGCAGGAGAGAAAAAGCCTTTAAGCAGCAACTCCTGCCCCACCTCTGGGTTCTCTATCACTCTGACCTTGAGTACTTGAAGCTCAAATCAGATAGGAATTTCCCTTGTCTCTGACCTCACCCTTTCCCCAAACATGTGCTTATTATGGTTTGGATGTGGTTTGTTCCCACCAGCATTTAATTGCCAGTGTGATGGTATTGAAAGGTGTTGCAATTTTTGAGACAGATTTTCTAGGCAGGGTTCTCTCAAGAGGATAGCTCCCAGGATAGGATGCTAACTCTGTTTCAGGAAGCTGAGCCCCAACCAGCTAATCAGTTTCCATCTTCTTCTGGTTCATTTTGCAGGGGGAACAGAGGCCTGCAGCCTCTCTGCTTTCACCCAGGACTTGAGCCAACTCTGACAGCATCAGGTGGAGGGTTTCACCAGGAGGGCGGATCTATGGTTAATCTTGCTGCCCTGAGCCTGCCCACCAGGCTTGGTAGGAGTTTAGACCTAATTTTTCCCACGGTGCTGAAGGCCCAGACACTCTGCCTGATTATCTGTCTTAATCTCTGCCTAAATCTCCCTCCCCCTGTAATTGGAGTCTTTTGCTGAATCTCTTTACATAAGGTTACACTGCAGGCTTCTCTTTAAGAACTGTTAGTCAGCTTTTTGCCACTGTGACCAAAAGACCCCACAAGAACAACTGAGAGAAGGAAAAGTTTATTTTGGCTCATGGTTTCAGTTATTTACTCCATGGTCAGCCAAGTCTGTTACTCTGGGATCAAGGTGAGGCAGAATATCATGGCAGAAGGGTGTGGTAGAGAAACAGGGCTCACCTCATAGAGGTCAGGAAGAAGAGAGAGAAAGCAGCTGCAAGGAAGATGAACTCTTTCAGGTCACATTCCCCAGTGACCCATTCAAACTAGGATGGACTGATTAGAGTACAGTTCTCAATCCATTCATTTTGCCTCTAAATATTTCTGCATTAACAAAGGAGTTTTTTGGGGACACGTTATATATCCAAGGACCAAACCCAGCTGTTGGGTTCCCTGCTGCCCTCACCTACCCCAAGCATCTCCTCACAAGAAACTGACCCTGCTCTGACCTGTGGAGTAGCAACATGGCAGGTGGGGCCCTCCATGGGCTGGCTCTGGAAGACTTCTAGGCTGTCCTCCTATCATGTACCACCTTGAACTTTATCCTCCCAAAATACTGAACTGCTGCTTCAGTTCTTTTCACAATCATATTATTTTCCACCTAACCATTGCACCTTTGCTTCACCTATTCCCTAGGTCTGGAATGTCTTTCTTCTAACCCATTTTTACTTCCCTTACTCTAGTGAATTTATTGTTTGAAATTCAGTATGTTATAAAGGATATAAATGCCATATATTAAGGATTTACCATGTACCAGACATTATGTTCTGTATTTTATATTAGCTCATTTAATCTTCACAACAACTTTCATGCATGGGCATCATACTAATCCCTGTTTATGAAACTGACTTTCACAACAGTATGTTCTTTGCCCAGGGTTTGTTAGTAGGTTGAGTTCTCATAGTTAATAAGTGGTGGAACTCACATTGATGCTCATGTTTGTCTGGCCCCAGAGTCTATTTTTCTATCCCTTGGGTTAATCTAATCACTTAAACATTATCTTCTTTCTCAGACCACAACCTATATACTCCACCCCAAACTGGGCTTGGGCTCTCACAGGCTTTGACCTCTCTGCGTCTCAGCACTGATCACAGGGTATGATCTTTGTTTTCTTATCTGCCTCCCCTATTAGACTCTGAGTTCTTGGAGAATAAGGGTTGTCCTTGTCAAAGATACCTCCAGTACAGCTTTCCAGAATGATAATGAATCAATGAGTATGTACCTTATATTGCCCATATCAATAACTTTGGAGTCAAAGAAATAGAGGTGCAAATCTTCCTTCTAATGTGTGTGTGCTTGGGCAAGTCACTTCGTTTTCTAACGTGTTTCCTTATGCATACAACACTGCTCACAGAGGTTGTCAGAAGGATCCTCAACAAATGTGTGTTCTCTTCCCTCCATACTGCTTTGAATACTGATCTTGATGGGCCCAGTCTCTGCTCTATCATTCCCAGCCTCCTCCTCTTACCTCACTGCTGGGATCCCACCCACTTCCCAGACAAATATCCTCTGACCTCAGGTTTCTTATCTTCAGGATCTTCTATTTGCGGGCGTTCATCCCATTTCCTTGGTTTCCGGGCATAGGGGTCTTTTATTTTCCTGGGAGGCAAGAACTGCCAATCATCCTCCAGTTCCCCAGTTGCCACTTGCTGGTTGTCAATTTTGACTTCATAAGTAGCATTAGGACGAATGATCAGAGTATACAGGTGAGTGTCTTTATTGATCTATAAAGGAAATGGGGAAATATCTCAGCTCTATATTGAACTTCCTGGATCTCAAGCATTAAATACAAGAGATCCACCTGAATGCCACCTCCCACATTTTCACAAATATATTTTATCACATCTTCCTCCCCTTTCTCTGGTTAACCCTCTAGGGATCCTGGGTCTGTTGTCCTAGTACACACTCCTCCAGTCTCCCTTACCTTCCAGCCTCCCCTTCACAACAGCTCTGATCATTCTCTGATCTTGACTTTTTCTGTCTAGCCCACTAGACTATGAGCTTCTCAACAGCTGGAGTCATATATGATCCATCAGTTGCTTTCCTGCTCCAGAGGAGGACATCAGGGAGCTCCTGCACACATAGCCCCCACACCATCCTCCTCAGGAAGGCTCTGGGTTTGAACCAATAACCCAGGCCCGATGGCTTCTTTAGACTCAGTTTCTATCTTTTCTGTGCCCTGCCTGTGCCAAATCTCTGGCAGTACCACTCTTCCTCAAGTTTCCTTGACTTTTCTCAAGCAATTTTCTCCTTTAGGAATTCAGTTCTCTGTAAAATTATCATATCCCTTCAAGTTATGCTCATCTTTGAAAACTCAGCCCAGGAAAAAAGTTCTTTTAGGAAGGATTGCTGGACTGGGGTTGTGGCTCAGTAGTAGAGTGCTTGCCTAGCATGTACGAGGCACTGGGTTCTATCCTCAGCACCACATAAAAATAATTAAAATAAAGGTATTGTGTCCAACTACAACTAAAAAAGTATATATTAAAAAAAAGAATAAGCATTGTCTAAGCCTCCAGTTTGAGTGGGGGTCCTCCCCTGTATACCCAGACCCCAATTATACTAGGTGGTCATTTTCCTTTTTTTTTTTTTTTTTTTTTTTTTGTGCTGGGGATTGAATGAAGGGTCTTGTGCATGCAAAGCAAGCACCTATCAACTGAGCTATATTCCCAGCCCCAACTTTCCTCTTCTTGACTCTTATCTTCACTTAATTGTAAGTTTTATCAGGTCAGAGGTCATGTCTAGCACATCGTCCACCCCCAAGTCCCAGCACAGAGTTAGCATTTGGTGAGTGTTTGTCAAATTACTCATGAAATCCACCTACTTTCTTTTAGCTAAACTTAGTGTCTCTAGCCTGATGTTACTATAATAAACTGACCCCCCATCTTAAAGCCCAGCATTCCTTACCTCCCCATTCTCCCCAGTATCTAGCATTAGGGACTGGGCCATGCCATGCATTGAGAACTTGATATGACTTTCACAGGCTTCTGGATCAGCTGATCTTTTGTGAATTTATAGCACTTCCTTAGCTCTACTTTCTAATCTGTATAATGTAGATGATAGTGTTTAGTTTATAAGGATTAATGAGATAACATATATAAAATGCTATCCTTCCCCCCAGGCTGAGTACCAGCCCTATACACTCACCCTGCACTTGATGGTCTTGTTATTCTCATGGTATTTCCCTTGGTAATGAAGGATGACCTGTACTTTGTTGTTGCCAAAGCCACAGATGTCAGGTCCTGGAAATTAAACCCCAAAGCATGATTTCACATCAATTTCAGGCAGTTTGCCCAGTCCAAGGCCAAGATCCAAGACAGACACAGCCTGTGTGTTAATCAGTATGATCAGCAAGAAATACATGACATACTCTACTGTAGGAATATTTGAGAAAGATTTAATGAAAGGAATCTTTATAAAGGCAGGGTCAGGACATTGGGAAAGCTATAGTGCTATCTCAGGGCTAGGAAGTGGGGTTAGTCCCACCCAGGGCCTGAAGGGGTAAGGAGGAGGAGTTACCAGAGCTTGGAAAAATAGTCCTGTGGAGAAGCAGCCAGGAGAAAAGGGTACTCTTAGTTGAGGGATACAGCTCTTTTCTGTCTCTCTGATGTCCTGCCAGGGATCCTGTTGACCAAACCAACCGGAATCCCCTCCCGTGTCAGGCATTTTATACCATGTCATTTAATTCTCACAAGTAGGTATTACTATCTCCACTTTTAGCTGGGAAAATTGTGTCTCCGAAAAGTTAAGCAGCTTGCCCAAGGTCAAACAGCTAATAAGAAGCCTTGCTGGGATTGAAATCACTGCCTACCTAGTTGCAGAGCCTTAGGGCCTTTCTACCTTGTGAAAACTCTCAGGGGAAATATTTATTGATCAGTAACTCTGAGCCCAGAGAACTTTATATGCCAAAGGTTCAGGAATAGACTTTAACCTAATTTTCAAGTTCACCTTCTGAGTTAGTGTTCTCTGACTATCCAACACACACTAACACCCCTACAATGTGCTCTAGCTACATTGATGTTCTCACCATTTCTCTACTTCCATCTGAATTTTATGACTCAAGTTTTGCACACATGCTTCCCCCGCCCTCATTATATACCCTCTACTTCCTTCCCTCCTTATTAAAATCTAACTCAATCTTCAAAGAACAATTAACATCTCCTCCCAAAGTCCTCCAGTTGAATTGAATCATGCCAGGATCTCATTCTGTGATCTTATAGCACCTCATTAATATCTTTTAAAAAATATGTCCTTCATTCTTCCTCCCTGCAAATCCCTTACAGAGATTGAACTCAGGGGCACTTTATCACTAAGCTACATCCCCAACCCTTTTCTATGTTTGATTTAAGACAGGGTCTCACTAAATTGCTTAGGGCCTCACTAAATTGCTGAGGCTGGCCTTGAACTAGCTGTTCTCCAGCCTCATCCTCCCAAGAAGCTGGGATTACAGGTGTATATCTGAGGGTTCATTCCATCGGTTAAAAAATTATTCAATTACCTGAAGGTATATGGATGAAGTAGAAAAAACACAGGCTTTAGAGGCAAATGGACTGGGTTCAAGTTCTGGTTTCCCACTTACTCACTTTGGGCAAATTCCTTGCCTGAAAGAAAACCCAATCTTGTAGGGTTGTTTGAGGATCAGATAAATAATGTACACATAAAAGGGAAAAAAATCACATTTTTATTATTTCCAATTTTCCTACTACTACCACTGTGTACACATACATTTCTTGTGAGAAGGGTAAATTCTGAAGAAAGAAAAATGAGCAAAGACACATAATTTTGACAACCAGCTATAAGAATGAAGGACATATTTTTAAAAGATATTAATGAGGTGCTATAAGATCACAGAATGAGCTCTGAATAAGAGATCAAATGACAAAAAACTAAGTAGGAAAAGGGGAGGATGCAGAGCACAGTGTTTCATTGTAGTAATAGCTTTTGAGACTGTGTACATTGTTTATGACAACCTTCTCTCCTCACCCCCAACCCAGGAGTATTGGGAATCAAACCCAGGACATTGAACATGCTGGGCAAGCACCTCAACCACTAAGATACAGTTCCAGTTCCCTTCTCTTTCCCCTGTGCTATAAATTTGCAATACCAGGCACCTCCCCACCTCTTTGGTCTATTTATATTAACATTTAGGTTTAGAGTTGCTTTTTTCATGTCCTGTTGAAGAGTCCTACTGCACAGGTGGTGTGAAGCTATCACATTACAAATTTTGTTCCAGGTCAACGTAAATCTTTTCAACAACCACAGTAGTTCTTATCTCACTTAGTACCTTGTAGGACTGACAGCAACTGCTTTCAGAGAGCTTACCAAACATGATGTAATACTCAGATTCTGAATGCATATCCTCTTGGTTCAGGGTGGCAGGAAATAGTTTCACATACCCGCCACCGCAATCAATGCCTTGCTCGTGTTTTACTGAAAACTGAACCACCAAGGTCTCATTCTCATTGCTGAACGGTTTAAACCTTGTTGAAAGGGCATAACATTTGGCATCTTCACTGGTCTGGAGACCTAAAAACAGAGAGCATAGAGACTTTAGGATTAAATGACCAAAAAGCAACCAGAGAGACTCATCACTTGATCTAACCAATCTCTGGTATTTTCTCACACACAGTAGCTGTGCTGGAAGTTTTATACTTGTAATCTCATTCAAGCCTTAGAACAATCCTGCAAAATGGTATACCCCCACTTTACAAGTCTGGAGGGTGAGTTCTGGGGAAGTCAAGAGACCTGCATTGGACCACATTCCTGATAAGGAATCAAGCTGGAAGTTTTAGCCACATTTGACAAATGCTTTCTTTCCTTCTATCCAAGCTACCTCTGCTTTTCAAGAGATATTTAAACACTGCTCTGTAGCTTTACAAAACAAGGCCCTGGTTTTGTTTTTTTTTTTTTTTTTTTTTTTGAGACACCTCCTCTCCCTGCCCCACCCAGGCCAAAATGAGGCTCTGCCAGGCAAAAGTGCTGAGGTTAAAAGAGGCCCTGCAGGGGCAGGGGCTGTGGCCCAGTGGTAGAGTGCCTGCCTTACACATGTAGGGTATTAGATTCGAGCCTCAGCACCAGATAAAAACAAATAAACAAAGATAATGTGTCCATCTACAACTAAAAAAATGTTTAAAGAGAGAGACCCTGTATCAACTCTTAGATCAAATGATCATCTTTGCTATTGTTGACTGAACACTTAATCTTTTTTTAAAAATATTTTTTAGTTGTAGTTGGACACAATATCTCTATTTTATTTATTGTTATGTGGTGCTGAGGATCGAATCCAGCGCCTCATACGAGCTAGGCGAGTGCTCTACCGCTGAGCCACAACCCCAGCCCCTGAACACTTAATCTTTACCAGACAATATGTTCATTCATGTGTGTTATTGCACTTAATCCTCATAAAAACCTCATTAGTTGGGCTCTACTAATGTCTCCACTTTGTCATAAAATTGATGAGGCCATTTCACTTGTCCAGGACCACCCAACCAATCCTTCTAATTCCAGAACCCCCAGCCTCCACTTCAAGTCTTTTTCCTCCTCCCTCTTCAGCAAATATCATGGTGGTCAGGGATCTTAGAGTCTTTCTAGTCTAACCACATTACTTTATTGATGAGGAAAACATGCTCCAGCGAAGAAAGGTTACTTATTCAAGATCACACAGTCACAAATAACAGACAAGCCAAGTCTCCTGGCTCCCAGGCCAGTAGTCTTTATTATGTTACGCTGCTGCCCAGCTGACTGGTGATGGCTCTGCCTCTTTAACTGAGTCTCATTTCCTCATTAACAAAATGTGGATAATTATTTCTGTCTCACAGGGTTCCTGGTGAAGGTCAAGTGAGCAAGAGATGCGAGAAGTACTTATAAACTGTCAACAGAAATCCCATAAGTCATATAAAGAATGGGTTCGTGCAAAGTGCTTTTGGAGACAAAATCATTCTTGTATGTTAGACCCTGCAGTCTTGTTCAGTATTAATTTATCTCTTAGCTTTCCATGTACTTTTAACTTCTTTATCTCTAATTGAAATTCCCATTATATTTTAACATAAAATACTCCCCACTTTTTTCAAATTTCCAAGTTAATAAATGCAATATTTCTATAATTTAAAAAAAGCTATCAACATGCAATGTAAGGGGCTATCATGATTCATGCTTGCTCAAGGTCTTTACTTCATGAGCTCACAGTTCTCTCTACTTCCCTGAGTCACACTCTGGTGAATTTAGGTTTATTTCAGTCCCTTTGAGTAATTTTTAAGCTCCTGAAGAACAGGGCCATCTTTATATTCCCAGCATCTAGGACAGGGCCTGGAATAGAGGAAATGCTCAATAAATGTGTATTGAGTTATTAGAAGGATGATAGGTTCTGATTCAGATAAGTTCCCTCAAGCATTTATTGCACACCAGGCTCTTTGATAAGTACTTCCCTGTCTGACATCATATTAAGAACTGTGCACATTTTTATTCCATGATGACTACTACTACTACTATTTTGCAGTACTAGAGATTGAACCCAAGAGTGCTCTACCATTAACTACACCTCCAGGCCTTTTGTTTTTTAGAGACAGGGTCTCACTCAGTTGCCCCCAGCTGGCCTCGAACTTGTGATCCTCCTGCCTCAGTCTCCCCAGTTGCTGGGATTACAAATATATGCTATTGTGTGTGGCCTGTTCTCATTTTAAAGAGATTTTTTTTTTGTACTGGGGATTGAACTCTGGGGCACTTGACCATTGAACCACATCCCCAGCCCTATTTTGTATTTTTATTTAGAAACAGGGTCTCACTGAGTTGCTTAGTGCCTCACTTTTGCTGAGGCTGGCTTTGAACTTGTGATCCTCCTGCCTCGGCCTCCTGAGCTGCTGGGGTTACAGGCATGTGCCACCCTGCCCAGCTAAAGAAAATTTAAAAGAGATCTTTCTTCAAAGATCTCAGGAAGGGGAGCAGTTAGAGAAGCCAGGAAAGACTTCCTTGGAGAAAGGAGTGGCACAGGATCAGAAGAGCAAGTTTTTTGTTTGTTTGTTTTTTGTGTTTTTTTTTTAAAGAGAGAGAGAGAGAGAATTTTTATTTATTTTTTGGTTTTTCGGCGGACACAACATCTTTGTATATGGTGCTGAGGATCGAACCTGGGCCACACGGATGCCAGGTGAGCGCGCTACCGCTTGAGCCACATCCCCAGCCCAGAAGAGCAAGTTTTGAGGCTCTGTTCTGCCAAACTCTGCCTGATTCAGTTCCCCTTCACCAAGCCTCTTTCATACCCCGGGGACCTTCCAGACAACCAAAAGGAATCTGAAGAGCTTGAGTGGGATGAGATGTGAAGGATGACAATTGAGAGTGAAATGATAGGAGACAGGTGGCTATGCAGACTGCCCTACTGGAGTCACCATGACACAGGTGTCTGTCCCATGGGTCACTCAGTCTCTAATTCTCTAGAAGCAATTTTCCAGAGTGGATTTAAATAAGATTTAAAATGCTCAAACCAGTTTATAATGCTCTCCTTCAGTAAACATGAAAATGAGATGCATAACAGTAGCCAGGAAGGAGAAGATGGGAAATCACTGCAGAGAATGATCAATGAATTCTATTTATAGACAAAAGCTTTCTGAGACCAAAAACCCATGCTAACAGTCCTAGTCCTCAGAGCTCACTCTTTCTTCACAATACTATTTGCCCTTAAAATGGCTCTGTCTAATGAACATGGCAAGTGATGATATTGTCTCCTAAAATCAAGGCTCAGAGAAGTAAAAAGACTTGTTCTAATTGTATAGTTAGTAGGTGATGGAGTTAGCCCTAGGTCTGTTTTGCTCCACTATCTACAATACTAAACTGCTCTAGGGAAGAGAAACATTTGGACATTATGCAGTGCTTTCTTCTGCTTCAAGTGCAGAGTGCTACTTGAAAAATCCAAGGGGGGTTGGGAAAGCAGCATAGTCCGAGTAATGAACAGTTTCTGAAGCCAGACCCACAATCAGATCTCAGTCCCACCCGTTGGCAGCTGGTTATATGGACTTGAGCTCATAACCCAACCTCTCCTAGGCTCCTTTGCAAAACTGGGAAAATAATAGTGACCACCTCATAAAGTTGTTAGAAGGATTAATGGGAATAATATGTGTAAGGACCTAGTTTAAAATGCCTATTATTCAATGAATGGATATTATTATTTTAGTGGAAAGTTAATCCTTTTCCATTAACTAATTTTTTTTCCTTTTAGTCATGGGAATTGAACCCAAGGGTATTCTACCACTGAGCTACATTCCCAGTCCTTATTATTTTTTATTTTGTGACAGGGTCTTGCTATGTTGCTAAAGCTGGCCTAAAATTTGTGATCCTATGGCCTCAGCCTCCAGAGTCACTGGGATTAGGTATGCACCACACTGCCTGGTCTCCATCTTCTAATTTTTTAAGTAAGAGAAATGAATTGATAGTCAGAAATAAAAACAATTGCATAAAAGTCAGAATTTTCCCATTCAATTGGTGCATTCCTGAATCTCAGTATTTACCTTTATCTTTTTCTTGGTCTCCATAAAATTTTCCTGCCGTAAGCTGAAATTTACCATAATCAGGCCGATGTTTAGATTCTACCCATCGTTTTTTCCATTCATCTGTGGAGTAAAGGAGAAAAAAAAAAGCAATATATTAAACTTATTTGTGACTGGGTGTGGTAGTACACATTTGTAAGCCCAGCTACTTGGGAGGCTGAGGCAAGAGTATCACAAGTTTGAGAGGATCCTGGGAAATGTAATAAAACCCTGACTCAAAGTAGCATAAAAATGGTTGGAGATTAGATCAATTCTTGTCTAGTGTGTGGGAATCCATAGGTTCAATCCCCAGTACTACAAAATAAAAAAAGGAAAAAAAATTGTCTTTTGTTAGAAAATAAAATGCAGCCAATGCTGATCAAGTCTTATGGAAAGGGTAAGAGTATAACAGAAGATGACTCCAATATTCCTGAAATCCCCTCACTATACAATGCCTAAGATCTTACTCTTCAGGCACTACCACATGAAGTGGCTTAAATACCAAGTATGTGAGTAATTTGTACATAATGCCTTACTCTATCATCTTTTATGACAGTTAAATTCTAAAGACCACCATGGAAATATGGTTGAAGGGCATGAAATATTTGTTCTCATAAAAGTAGATAGAAAAAAAATGTGCTTAGGAGGCTAAATCATATGTACTTATGTTTAGCAAAGCAAAATAATAAAATTAGCTTACCAAGTAAAGAGATTAGCAGTAACATTTTATACTTCTTGAATTAGTAATGATGATAATGAACAATCAATTTCCATTTACCCTCTTTTGTTGCTTAAACTTTTTAGACTCTCCCTTACGGTTTCAAGGAGATGCTGATAAATGTGTTTTCTTTTGGCACAGATGGCATGCAGACAAAGAGGCATTCTTTTTGGGACCTGGCACTCCATCCAAACATTCATTGCCTTTGTGATTTTATGCTTCAGAGTTGCTGACTCCCACTTCCTGGGCCCATCATGGTCCCAGAGTCACAGGGCAATTTGGTAACTTGAGATAGAAAAGGCCTTGGAGGTAGCCTTATTTCATCTCCTCCCTGCAGCTGAATGGATACTTCTCAAATTCCACTCCCCAATATCTCAGCCTTAGCTCTACCCATGAATATCCTGAACCAACATACACCCATTAAGGCCACTGTGAGCTGCTCTGTCAGCTACTGTTACTTAAGCCTGATGACTCAACTACTTCCTTTCATGAAACCCAAGGGCCTTGGGCTTGCTTTTGAAGGAGTTAAGAATATACCACCCTAAAATATGCTGCTCTGGCATATTGACTGTGTTGAATTAAAGACATTTAAAAACAGCAGGTGCAAGAAGATCACTCTGACCTTCATTCTTTTTCTTAAAAATAGGAATAAGGGCTGGGGTTGTGGCTCAGCAGTAGAGAGTTCGCCTAGCGCATGTGAAGCATTGGGTTCGATCCTCAACGCCACATGAAAATAAATAAATTAATTAAATAAAGATATTGTGTCCAACTACAACATATATATATATATATATTAAAAAAACACAGGAATAAAATTCTCATGTGAAAAATGTCTTGCTGTGCATGGTGGCGCACGCCTGTAATCCCAGCACCCTGGAGGCTGAGGCAGGAGTATTGCTAGTTCAAAGCCAGCCTCAGAAATTTATCAAGCACCTAAGCAACTCAGTGAGACTCTTCTCTAACTAAAATATAAAAAAGGTCTGGGGATGTGGTTCAGTGGTTAAGTGCCCCTGGGTTCAATCCCTGGTACCAAAATATGTGTGTGTGTGTGTTGTGTGTGTGTGTTTGTGTGTGTGTGTGTGTGTGTGTATATATACATATATATATATAACATTCTTATTATTGAAGATGGAAATGGAACCTCATGAAAATCTGGACAAACAAACCTCATTACACCAACCTTTATCTTCCTAGTCACTTCTCTACCCGATTCACTTCCCTACCAAACCCCTTTGCCTTATCACATTTCACAATCTATTACTTGTCCAATTCAGTGTTTAAGAGATTAATTTTGCTCCTCTGCATTTTCACTTCTTTATGAGCAATCCCATGCCACATAAAACATGTATTAAGTGCCCAGCACGGTGGAATACACGTATAATCCCAGCAACTTGCAAATTCAAGGCCAGTCTCAGCAACTTAGCAAGGTCCTAAGCAACTTAGTGAGACCTTGTCTCAAAATAAAAAGAGCTGGGGAGGAGCAGGGGTTGTGGTTCAGTGGTAGAGCACTTGTCTAGCATGTGTGAGGCACTGGGTTCGATTCTCAGCACCACATATACATAAAAATGAATAAAAAAAATAAAGCTCCTAAACATCTAAAAAGTGCCCCTGGTTTCAAGTCCCAGTACAAAACAAACATGAATTAAGTAAATTTGTATGTTTTTCTCCTGTTATTCTGTTTTACATCAATTTAATTCTTAGTCTCAGCAAGGACAGCCAAAAAACCTAAAAGGGGATTAGGGGTATAGCTCAGTGGTAGAGAGTTTATCTAGCATGAGCAAGACCCTGGTTCAATCCCTAGCACCACAAAACAAAAGCCTCAAGGGAAGAAAGAAAATTTTCCTTCCCCAATACTTCATTGTTTTCTCTGTCTCTCTCAAAGTCTCAGTATTTGATAGCCTTGGTGCCCACCTCTCTCTCCCTCCTAAGAGAGTGGCGTCACGAGTTTCTGCCTAAAATTACTGTGGCTTGTATGAAGTAGACCTTATTTCTCTGACCGTAGTTGATCCAATGAAGGATAAGTATTGATGCCAAAGTCAAAAGATCGATGCTAAAGCCAAAGATATATGTTAGGACCTCATGTGACACCCTGAAAACTTCACCTTATTCACATTCTTGGATGATGCTAGGAGATAGGTACTCTTTGTTCCATTTGGCACCTTGTTAGTAGTGGACCTAATAAGTGGTGGAATCAGTTCTGTCTGGCTTGCATAATTGTCTTTCCTCTGAAAGAAGAAAGAGATACAAGGAAAAGTGCTATGCAGGAAAAAAAATGTGTTATAATTTATAATAGCTACTAAAAATGTTTTTTTAAAGAGAACTATTTAAAACAAAAGAAAAAATAGATACTATTTAGCAGCCATATGTAGGCATTGTGCTGAGTGCTTTATGTGCATTATCTCATTGTGTTCTCATAATAGTCCTGTGATGAATGTCCTTGTTTTCTTTCCCCCCATTAAAAGATGATGAAACTGAAGTTTAGAATCTTGCCTAAGAGCCCAGTAAGTAAGTAAGTGAGCAGCTTACCCAGGTCTATGCAACACTAAAATCTGTACTTTTAGCTAGACTAGACTAGACTACTTAAAATAGTCTAGACTCTAGACTCTATATATTTCCCTAAGATCAAACATGTGAAAAGCTCTTTATAACCTAAAGAGTGTGCAACCTGTGTAAGAGTCAATTGTGGCATTTTATAGTTTGTGATGTATAATTTGTGTATAATTTTAGTACACAAATTATTGTACAAAATTTATCTTCCTACTGGACTGGTAAGTTACATAACGATTTTGTTGCCCATTGTGTCCTGGTATCTAGCACACAGTAAATTGTTAAAAAAAAAATTGTTGAATGCCTGAATGGATGTGTCATTATGCTTTTTGCCTAAACCATAAGATTCTCAGCCTTACAAATAGAATAATGCATTTATTCATCCATCCGACAAATATTAATTGAATTTAACCAGTATGTAGAGACGATTGTACAATCTTGGCCTTGAACTTTATGGTAGAAGATATTAGAACAGAAGTCCAGACTTCCCATCTCAAATTATTTTTCAGGGTAAAGAGTACGGATGCAATTCAAACCTGACACAACTTACGGTATCTAAAATAAGAAGCCTCTCTTTTTTAGGAGAATAATGTCATATGATTAATAAAGTTCCATTTTATTGCCTTATAATTTTCCTTTTAACTTTATAGTGTCTTAACATCATGAAAGACTCAAGCCAGAATGACTCTCAGTGGTCATTTAATCTAACTTCTTTACATTATATAAAGGAAAACAGAAGCCCACAGAAGGAAGTAACTTGCTTATGGACACATAGTTACCAGTTGCAAATCTGAGACTAGAATCTAGTACTTCTGCACTCTGGCTCTGGGCTCATTTGTTCCTTCATTCAACAAATGAATATTAGTCATTCACTTTGTGCCAGGGATTAGGTACACAGACATGAAAATCTGACAAGGCCCCTTCAGGGACCTATGAGCCTTGGGGAGTTCAGGGAATCTGGTAGAAGAAACATACAAGTAAACAATTTAAACAGTAAACAAGTAGACAGACAAGTGAAGCAATAGTGTGGTTAGGGTAGGTTAAGGAAGCAGAGGGTAGTAACATCCAGGAAAACATCTACTTCTCCCAGGCATCAGAGAGGACTTCAGAGGAGGCTTGTTTGAAGAAAGAATTAAAAGGGCAGAAAGGCGAGGAGAGGGTGTTCCAAACAGAATGTCTTGCATTTATAAAAGCCCAGAGGCATGAAGCAGCATTGTGTTTCAGGGTAACTATAAAAACTGTATAGTTTTTTAGGGAAGAGGAGAAGAGAAAGAGCCATATCAAGGAGAGCTCTTGAGACCAAGGTAACATTAGATTAGTCTAAAGTTGAATGCTGCCATTTCTTCCCACCTGATAAATCTTCCCTTTAAATTGGTCAGATATCGATAGGTCTACAGAGACCTCTCCAGCAAAAACTAATGTGTTTGGGAGCTGGCACATCTGGCTGATAAATACACATAATCACACTCAAATAATCACACTCAAATCTGTAGAGAGAAGCAAGGAGACCATATAAAAATAGTTCCTCTCTAAACATAGTCCCCCATAATTGTACCTCCCAACCATCTGGCTTGTGATATAGCTCAAATCAACAGACTGACTAGGGACTCAGCTCTGCCACCAGCTTTAGCAATATTTAATTAAATTAATTAATTTATTTATTGATACTAGGTATTTAACCTGGGGGTACTTAACCACTGAGCCATATCTCCAGTCCTTTTTATTTTTTTTTATTTTGAGACAAGTTCTCACTAAGTTGCTGAGACTGGCCTGGAACTTGTAATCCTCCTGCCCCAGCCTTCCAAATCGCTGGAATTACAGGTATGCTTACACATCTGGCTTCAGCAGTATTTTTAACTTCTTTGTAACTCAGTTTCCTCATCTGTACAAAAGTTACCTAACTCATAGAGTTTTTGGGATAATTAAATAAAATAGCATGCAGCACAGTTGTAGGCAGGCAAGTGCTCAATCAACACCAGTGGTGTTATATCTGCATATGTGTGTATATATGTATACAAAGTTTCATAACATCAAAGGTAAAGATAAATAAATATTTTTAGATTTGAAGATAAAAGTTGTATCTTTCCCAGCATCTAGTCCTGAGCCAGAATAGATCCTTTAGAAGAAGCTTGAATAATTAGATAAAAATACAGATTTGCTGTATTATTATTATATAAGATCTTATTCAACAGAAGAGAATTTGTTAGACAATCTAACATTTACCTCTTCAGGTGCCTATATTTTACCTACCATTTTCAGTGGAAAACACTAGACATGATAAAAGATACTAGTCTCTTGTGTACAGAATTCTAATAAAAAACATAAACTTTTTAAAGACTCAAACTGTCTATCAACCTATAATGTACAGCAGAGATGTAGGTCTGGTTTTCAAGTTTTTCAGTCTCCACTGTCCCTTTTCTGCTTGGAACACTCACTTCTCCCTGAGATTAAGGTGTTTGCCTCTAGCAACTGCCTGAGCTGTTGTATATGACTTGGGCAATTCCTTTTATGCATCTGTGTCTTCATCTATTAAAAAGGTATTATATTTAAACTCTTGAAAGAAAGGAACACTGGCCAGGTGCAGTACCCCATGCCTGTAATCCCAATGGCTAAGGATCACAAGTTCAAAGCCAGCCTCAGCTAAGCAACTCAGTGAGACCCTCTCTCTAAATAAAATACAAAAAATAGGGCTGGGGATGTGGCTCAGTGGTTGAATGCCCCTGAGTTCAATCCCTGGTACCAAAAAGAAAGGCAGGCAGGCAAGCAGGCAGGCAGGCAGGGTATTGTGGTGTACACCTGTAATCCCAGCAATCTGAGAGACTGAAGTAGAAGGATTGCATGTTTGAGGAAAGCCTCAGCAATTTAGTGAGACCTTGTCTTGAAAAAAAAAAAGGAGGGGGGGGGGCTCAGTGGTAGAGTGTCCCTGGGTTCCAACCCAGTACCACAGAAAAATAAAAATAAAGAAAGGAACCCTGTTTACATAGTAAGTGCTCGACAAATGTTTATCAAGTAATGGATTGGCATAAGGACCCAATTAGTTAAGATAATAAAAATAATTATTGTTGCTGTCATTGAACGAGAGCTTCTAGTAGAACTTCCACTTCTCTTGGAGGTTGTCATTTCTAATCCACTGTATCTTAGCCAAGTTTGCTAGGAAAGTGGACATTAAATAAGAGCCTATATGCTTGCAGAAGGAAAAAATACTAGTTTTTCACTTAAATATTTGCAGAGCACCTTTTCTGTGCTGCCTGAGTGCTAGATGCCAGGGTACTAATTTGAACAAAACATAATTCTTTGAACTCTCAAACCCTCAAAGAGGTTATAGTCTAATGAAAGACATCTACTTTTCTTATTTTATATTTCTTTTTTCTTTTTCTTTTCAGTACTGGATATTGAACCCAGGGATGTTCTACCACTGAGCTACATTCCTAGTCCTTTTTAGTTGTTTTGTTTTGTTTTGTTGGTACCAGGAATTGAACTCGGGGGCATTTGACCATGAGCCACATCTCCAACCCTATTTTGTATTTTATTTAGAGGCAGGGTCTCACTGAGTTGCTTAGTGCCTTGCTGTTGCAGAGACTAGCTTTGAACTTGCTAGACTCCTGCCTCAGCCTCCTGAGTCGCTGGGATTATAGGAGTACACCACCACACCCATTGTATAGTCCACTTTCTTGAGGGCAGATTATCTACATAAATTATTTGAAATATATCTTGTATTGGGCTGGGGTTGTAGCTCAATGGTAGAACTCTCACACTTGCCTAACACTTGTGAGACACTGGGTTCAATCCCCAGCACCACATAAAAATAAATAAATAAAACAAAGGTATTGTGACCGTCTACAATTTTTAAAAGTTGTGTTTTGTCCTCATTTATTTATTTATTGTATCATTTCATTATATTAGTATGAACTAATGGATATTTATTTTATACTTAGAGTTATAATCTAACCCAATACCACATTATTTTGTTGCTCAATGTCTTTAGCCATTGGGAATTTTTTTTTTTCAGAACTGGGAATTGAATTATAGTATGATGTAGTGCTGTGAACTTCATCCTCAACTCTCATTTTTAAATCTTTTCCCATATTTGTAGTGGTACATTATAATAATACATAGTGGTAGGATTTGTTGTTATATATTCATACATGCACACACTCTAACTTGGCCAATATCATTCCCTAGCATTTTCCCTTTCTTACAGTTCTTTTTAAATATTTTATTTTTATGTGGTGCTGAGAATCGAACCTGGGGCCTCACACATGCGAGGCGAGCGCTCTACCTCTGATCCACAACCCCAGCCCTTCTCTTTCTTAAATTTTATTTTGAGACAGTGTCTTGCTGAGTTGCCCAGGTGGGCCTTGAAATTACTATCCTCCTACCTTAGCCTCCCCAGAAGCTGGGATTACAGGCCTATGCCACCATATCCTGCTGCCATCCCAAATTCTTCCAGTTGGTTCTTGTGTCCCTTTGACATTCTCCTATGGTTTTGTTTTTTGAACACCTCCTTACTTTCTGAAACTATAAAATACTCAGATGTCATCATGTATATTCCCTTCCCAGTCCTAGAATCGGACATTTTTTTAAGGAAGCCTAGTTTCTTTTATTAGATAATGGTATTATAAACCATAAAATGGGCTCTGGGTGTCATTAATTTTTTAAAAGTGTTTTAATTAGAGTATAACATGTATTCAGGTAAGAGGACAAATCATAAGAGTATTGCTTGATGATGATGATGATGATGATGATGATGTGTGTATGTTGCTTGGGATCAAACCTGGGGCCTCACATACGATAGGCAAATACTCTCCACTAGGTTATATCCCCCTTCTCATTTAATGATTTTTTTTCCCACTGGAGATTGAACCCATGGGTACTTTACCACTGAGCTGTATCTCCAGTCCTTTTTATTTTGAGACAGGGTCTTGCTAAATTGCTTAGGACCTCATTAAATTATTGAGACTGGCCTCTAACTTGCAATCCTGCCTCAGCCTCCAGAGTTGCTGGGATTACAAGGATGCTCCACTACAAGCTCACTTAATGAAATTTTAAGGCAAATTACCCAAAGACCTGAAGTTACAATTCCAAAGTCTCACTTCATACTATTCTAATATCCTCTACTCTGCCTTTCCCATGACATTATAAAATAGGAAGAGAGAAAAACTCTAACCATCCTTTGAATGTTTCCTCCTTTACTCCTTCCATTTATTCATTAGTGTTTATTCAGGGCTTATTAAGCACTAGACAGGGAACAGAATAAAGTTCCTCCTTCATAGAATTTATATTTTAATTGGAGTTTATTGTTCTAATTAATTGATAAACTTTAAACAAAATAGCATATAAATATGTAATATAATATCAGGTAACAACAAGAGTGATAAGGGGGATGAGGTTGTATGTAGCTCAGTGTACAGCACTTGTCTAGCATGTGTGAGGCACTGGGTTCAGTCCTCAGCACCACATAAAAATAAATAGGCTAAATGCTGTGGTGCACACATGTAATCACAGTGGTTTGGGAGGCTGAGACAGGAGGATCGTGAGTTCAAAGCCAGCCTCAGCAAAAGCAAGGTGTTAAGCAATTCAATGAGATCCAGGCTCTAAATAAATAAAATATAAAATAGGGCTGAGGATATGGCTCAGTGGTTTAGTGCCTCTGAGTTCTATCCCTGGTATAACCTCCCCCCAATAAATAAATAAATAAATAAAGACAGGTATTGTGTCCATTTACAAATAAAATAATTTTTTTTAAAAAAAATAAGGAGTGATAATGTGTCATTTTAGATAGGGGCATCCAGGCCCTGTGCTGAGATGATATTTGATCAGTGATTGAAGAGTGGGCCATATTCCAGGTGAGCTACACAAGCAGAACACCAGAGAGAAGGAAGAAGGGAAGGGAGCTGGCACTTCCTACGTACCAGGCACTGTGCAATATGGTTTCCATATCTCATTTCATTCAGTCCTCACAGTGCCTTTCAAAGGAGGTAAGGTAATCACCTCCATTTCATGGACACTCAGATAGGTTAATAAATTACCCAAGGTCACCCACTTAGCAAATGGCAGAATCAGGACTTGAAGCCTCATCTGTCTGCTCCAAGGCCCTCATTTTGCCTTCTCATCCCTGTGAGCTCCAGAGAGATCCTTGCCATCAGTTTGTACTTGAGACCTGGAAAGGCCAGCTGGATGGGGCCTCTTTGGTTTGGGCATCTTTCCAGGGTGATTCTTCCCCAGGCTCAGCATGTCCAAGTATCCCTGAATCACAGATGGTCTCAATTGCTTATCAGTCGGAGGCCTGAACAGCAGGGTGTTCCTCAGCCCTGCTGGGCTGTCCTCAGTGTGTCTGTGCCAGCTGGGCACAGAGGCCCTTTGTCTCAGAATGTCTCTTCAGCCAAGTTTTCATGGTCAAGTCTGGGAGCTAACAGAATTAACATTCACACACACACACCTTGTGACTCCTGCATCATTCAGCTCCTCATTTGAATTCCAGTTTCCTTCTGCCTGATTTTGTGTTTTGACAATGGTCACTGCTGTCACCATTAGTCTTCCACTCATATCTATTTGTATCATCAATTCGATGATTCTCCAATTCAATCTACTAACATTCTTGCATATTTTAATGTTCTAGTCCCTATGCAAGTTCTGGGATTCCTAAAGCTCCTGTTGTCCCTGAAGCCACTAGTATTATGACCTGATGACCATCAGACATGGCAACTTGATTCAGTGGCCAACAAATTATATATGAAGGCAGGAGACTTGGGTTCAGCAAGCATTTCTGCCACCAATTTATTATGCCTTGGGAAAAACACTTTTCCTCTCCAGAGCTCAATTTCCCCATCTGTACATGGAAGGTTGAATTCTAAGGACCTTCTTCATTAAAATAATGTATAAAGAAAAGAAAAAAAAAAACTACTGGTACACAATAGGCATTCAATAAGATTAAGTTCCATCTCATTGAGTTTAGTTTCCTGGGTTCCCTGAACCAAGAATGATTTGCATTGGCTAATAAGAGCATTCTGATATCTGAAAAGTCATTTCCCAGGGAAGTTCATTCATTTATTAATTAATTCATTCATTCAACAAAAAAAATATTGAGCACCAACTATATGCCTGTCCCAGGCACTATTCTAGATGCTACAGATATTACAATGAACACAACAGGGAAGCACTGAGTTCTCAGGAAACTAATCTAGTGATGAGGAGAGCAAGAGAGAGGACAGAAAAGGGCAGGGGGTGAAAATATTTTTAAAAAGAAACATAGTGGGGAGTAGTCTAAAAAATTGAATATGCAAAAGTTCACAAGGGAAGTGTTTGGGGTATGGAAATGTTCTGTATATTGATTATAGTGGTGGTTACACAGGTGTAGACATTTTTCAAAGTTTAATGAATGATACACTTTATTTATATATTTATTTATTTTGGTACTTCAGATTGAACCCAGGAGCACTTAACTACTGAAATACATCTCAGCCCTTTTCCTTTTTTATTTTGAGACAGGGTCTCAAAAAGTTGTTGAAGGTCTCCCTAAGTTGTTGAGGCTGGCCTTGAACATGCAATCTTCATGACTTAGCCTCCAAAAAGTCACTGGGATTGTAGGCATGCACCATCATGCTCAGCTGAATGATACAGTTTTGTTGTTAATTTTTTTTAAGTTTTGAATGATACAGTTTAAATAAGTAAATGAATGTTTTATCTCAAGAAAGTTGATTACAATTTAAGTCACATAAAAGGATAAAATATATTTTTTTTGATGGATAAACAAGAAAAGTCCCTGTCAGGAAACATTTAGACAGAAATCTGGACGATGAGAAGGAGGAAATGTAATTAGGCAGAAGTCACAGAAAGTGCTAAGACCCTGAGATGGAACTGAGCTGGCAGTGTCTGAGAAAGAGCAAAGAAGCCACTGTGACTAGAAAGTAATGAGTAAACAGAAGACAAAAGTGGAGAGGCAGGCAGGGGACAGGTCACAGAGATTCTTGTAGGTCACAGTAAGAAAGATGGATTTCATTTTAAATCTAATAGGAAGGTGTGGAAGTTTTTAAGTTTCAAAATGATATTATCTGATTTGCATTTCTAAAGGTTGCTTCTGAATTTTATATCTGAAGAGATTAGGGAAAAGCAGAAAGGCCATTCAAGTTAGTGAAATAGTCTACATGAGAGGTGGGTAGTGATAGGGCAGGTAAAACATAGCAGGCTTTGAATATATTTTGAAGATAGAATAAAATAAATAAAAAAAATAAAGGAATCAAAGATGAATCTTAAATTTTCGATCTAAACAATCAAGTGATATGTTGGTCTACTTACCAAGATGGACCAGACCAAGGGAGAAAGACCAAGTCTGAAGGAGAACACCTAAGTTGTGCTTTTAACGAAGTCTAAGATACACATGAATTTATGGACATCTTGTTTTATATCAACATTTATGAGTTTGGATAAAACAAGTCAGTGCTTAAATCTTTCCAGTGCTTTCCAGTACCCTAACAGTATTGGATTTCTGGATTTTCTAAACTGAGGATAAGCCTCACAAACCTGCCTGGCACAGTGGTGCACACCTGTAATCTCAGCACCTCAGAAGGCAGAGGCAGGAGGATCACAAATTTGAGGCCAGCCTTAGCAATTTAACAAGACCCTGTCTCAAAATTATACATTTATACATTTCAGATGTCTCAGTCCTGCTGCTATGGGAAGATTATTTGAACATTCTCTTTCTGGAGTATTATTTTTTGGTGTGTGTGTGTCATAATTCAGTCCAATCATTCAATCATTCAACAACAGTTCTTAACCTGGAACCTCTCTAGGGCAGCCACTGACTTTGATATTGAAAACACAGAGGAAAATCAGAAATAGCCAGTGTGCGCAGGGCTGACACAAGAAGCACAGAGGCAGCGAAGTGGATTAGGCAAGGCTTCCTGGTAAAGGAAGGTCATGAAGAGTTATCTTTACAGCATGTAATGTGCTGGATTTTATTCATGATTTTGACCTCATCAACTGTCTTGGGGCTTAGGTCTTGAAACTACTCTTTCCCTGATTTCAAGAGACAGTTCAGAAACATTGATAAAACCCTTGGGCATTTCACTCCTGCCACTTTGAACAAGTGGAGTTAGTCCTTGGGGAAATGGCTGCAGGTCTATGCATGATTTCTTTGCTTCAGAAAGGAATTATGGTGTCAGGTAAAGCCAGGCCAGGCAGGGAGGAGGGCCTAAGAGCTGGCATTCAGAAGCTTGCAAAGGTTGGGCTGAGATCAATCAGGAAATGGGAGGCTAGCACCCTATCTTTGGAAGAGGCTGTGCTTTGTGCAAAGTTTCCTCCACAGCCACTTAGTGAAACTAAGGGATTTCTTGCATCCCACTCCTCAGTCAGCACCTAAACATTCCCCTGTGTGTTGGCACTGTGACATACACCTATAATCCCAGCAATCTGGGAGGCTGAAACAGAAGGATCACAAGTTCAAGGCCAGTCTCAGTAACTCAGCAAGACCCTTAACAACAAAATAAAAAATAAAAAGGATTGGGGATATAGCTCAGTAGGTTCAATCCCCAGTACCACTGTGTTCATGCACAGCCTCACTACTTTTCACCAAGAAATTACAATAATGTCCTAGAGGGTCTTCCCATCTCTGATCTCTCTGGCTAGCTTCACAATCCATCTCCATATCTTGTTGACATGCTGTAAGATACAGGTCATGTCTGTGTCTCCTTGCTTACCACCTTCAATAGTTCCCCACTGCTTTCAGCAAAGTCTAGGCTCCTTGGTTCCCTTGATCCAGCCCCTGCCTGCTCTACAGGCTCACCTTCTCTAGTCTCCCTTCACACTTTCAGTTCCCTGGAGATACCACTACAGGCTGCATCACCATTTAGAGCCTTTGCACTTGCTGTTGTTCTGAATTGGAATGCCCTTCTTCCCATCTCTGCTTAGCTGTGGACTCTTGTTCAACCCTAAGAACAGTGCTTGGGTTTTGTATTCTTCCTTGAGTCTTCCTGTCCCTCCTTCTTGTCTGGGTTATTCACTCCTTCCTCTGCACCACCTCTGCACCTGGCTACCCTCAACATGGTGTTACTTGTATCACAGATGGGGAAATTGAGTCTCAGAAAGAGGAAAGGGCTTATCCAGACTTTGAAGTTGGAACGTGGACTCAAATCTAAAAGTTCCCAATTCCTAGGTAATTTTCTTATTCACTATTCTCTCAAATAATCAGATTTTACACACACAGAGGAAGAGTATTTGGGGGGGGGGCCTGAAACAGTACTGTTGAAAATCTGTCTTTAAATAAGCAAGATCTGACATAATTACCTGATGGTCCTGAGACATTCCAGGGAAAACACTGAATGAGATGACCTCCAAGGTTCTCTAAGCTCTATTTTATGAACCACAAAAGTTTTCACTATCACAAATAATGCTGTCATTTTTTCCCTCCAGGGTTCACTTGTTTGTACTTTTGGGATGAAGGGGAGGGAAAAAAAACATGTACTGCATCTACTATGTACTAAGAGCAATGTTTTGCCTTTCTTATCTAATTTAACTCTCAGTATTCATTTAATAGAAAAGGACATTGAAACGTAGACATAGTTAGCTACTGGCCCAGGGTCACACAGCTAAGAAATAGCAAGCAGGTACTTAAACCGTGGTCCTTCTGGTTCTAAATGAGCCCAAACAAGGAAAGTCAGAGGGATCACTGGGGCAGGTGATTGGGGAGGATCAAGAAGGATCTGGTCCAGGGTCACTCCCACTGCCAGAACGCTTACCCCCGTCTTCAAACTCCTCACGCAGGTAGACTTGGCGCTGCACCTGTTCCCCCAGTATGCAGGTTGCCAAGAGCAGTGGCAGCAGCTGCAGCCCCTTCGTTTTGCAGAGGTCCCGTATCCCTGCGCCCAGCCTCCAAATGCAGGTACCTGGCCAGCTGTTGTGCTGCTGCTGCGGGCTGCTTCTACCTGGACCCCCGGGAGGGGCCTGAGATCTCTATACCTGGCCGCCTCCCATTTGCGGCCTTGGTGGAGGTGAAATGAGGGCTACAGCCAATGGTTGGGGACCACGCTCTGAGAGTGCTGGAGGAGCTAAGGGGCGGGGTGGTGGTGGTGGTGGCAAGTGTTATGAGAGCTACAGTGAAGGGTCCCTAGAGAGTGGGGGAGTGGCAGGGCCAGTTGAGGCTGGCCTCAGGGTTCCCTTGAGCCTACTCAACTTTGGTGTAGCTGGTTTCAAAGCGCTCTCTCATGTTTCTTTCCACTATCCTTAGGTCCCTGTATCCTTCTATCTTTCCTTCCATCCGTGGGTCCATCCATTCCCTAGGGCTATGAAGAAACTGTGATAGCAGAGTGACCTCTGTTTAACAGAAATATCTAGGGACCAGAAGAAGTCTTAATCCAGCATGGGATCTCAAGGAAGCTTCCTGAAGGAGGCATGCCAAGATTGCAGGAAGAAATGGGAAGGAGGAAGAAGAACAAAGGCAATACTACCTGAAGACGCAGAGGAGGGAAAGACTGGCGAACTAATATTACTTCTATATCAGCCTGTACATTTCAATCACGGTTATTTCCCCTATTGTGAGGAAAATGGAGCTCAAAGAAGGGGGGATG